GAGTTTGGGTTTGACCAATTCGTAAAAAAAAACCCCAAAAAACAAACAAAAAACAGAAAAAACAAAAACATCTAATTAAGACATGCGTGTCCGTCAACCTTAAACAATAATCGTTGTCAATTTTATTTTTCAGTCTTTATGATGGTCGATACTTGATCCATCTCTTACTGTTACATCCCCGGGCAACACCGGGCTCCACTGCTAGCCGTTAATATGAGGACCTTTTTTTATTCCATTTCTACTTCTGGCGTCCTTTCAATAACTTGAATACAAAAGGAATAAACTATAGAAAAAAAGATTTACGGCTTTAAATCCCAATGAAGGATTCCAGGCGTGACTAAAACAAAATAATTCCATTCAAGATTAAATAATGGCTTCTGTTCATAATTATCTGAAATTTGTTGTCTAACAATTTCATTATTCTATGAATCTGGACAAATATCGTCTGTTTTTTTTTTGTTTTTTTTTCGAATTATGTCCGTCTTTGTGTTAAGGATCACAATAATCCATTCGATGTCATGTCTGAGTGAGATTATGAACAAATCAGGTCTTTCTTTGAAATCTGTGAAATTTGTAAAAGAAGAGGGCAGCAAACTTTGCGCAAATCGAGAACTGGAGAGAAGCCAAAAGACTCTTAGAAAGAAATTGAAAGAATCGGAGATCTAAAGAAATAAGACAATTCAAACCACAGCATTAATAATAAATGCCCGGATGATACACCGACTATTAACCTCATGGTTTCCGATCTTTATTGATCGAAGATGTTAACGCGTTCAGTGTACACCTTTGTGCAAATTAATTATACAGGAAGATGTGGAGGACCATGATCACCTAAAGCTTTGTGCAAATTAATTGAAACAAAACGAATAAGTCCGTTATCATTTACTTTTTTTTTCGTATTTTCCCAGTGAAACATGACCCAGGGCACATATTAGTATTTCGTATACCCATTCCGCGAAGCCGTTCCTTGCAAATTGACCACAGATTATCGATTGGATTTAAATCAGGAGAGTTTCCGAGCCAGTCTATAGTAATTTGATTTGCTCATTGGTAAAGCTTGCTATTATGTGCGTGCAGCGTTACAATTTTCGTACGCTTCTTTGGAGTAACGTCCATCGCAGACAATGACCGTAGGACAACTGATTGACAGTCGAGAGAATAGTGTCTAGGCGTGATAAAAATCTGATGCAATCACGGATGACAGTATTTTTCAAGGCCAAATGAATCTCATCATACACTCCTAAAATAGCTTCATATTATGCACACCAATGCAAATGACCTAATCTGAGAAAAAATAGAAATTGATTACACTCTGCTACACCAGTGGATCTAAAACTGACCGTATGGTGAACTAAATTATTTGTTTCAATTAATTTGCACAATGGTGTATATGTTCGGTCTTGGTAAATTATGATAGGCTATAGAAAATATACCGTTGACAAACACAGATTTTCTTGTCACCTGACTGACCTTAACCAAAGAATGTCCTCTCGGAGATGACTCGCGGTTACTAGCATGGCTTGGATCGCTGCAGACCGTGCGATGGTTTTTGAAACGTTTTTGAAACGTTTTTGAAGATTGATGGATCTGTAATTGCACCACAAATAGCTTTTCGGTCACATTTCATATTATGTCGAAATGATGGTGTTACAGATAGAAAATTGATACTATTATGGTTTGAAAAAAAATGGGGCCAGAGATTCAACGCTTAAAAGAAAGCCACTTGAAAATATAACCAGAAATGACGCTTCGAGTGGTGGAAAACTTTTGAAACCATCGGCAACAGTGAATAGAGGCTACCATTTTAAAAACTAAATGAATAAAAAACCCATTGTTTAAACAACAGTGAAATAACCTTTTTTTTTAAGAGCAGTTTCATTGGTCTTTTTGTCATCCGTATATAATTGCAAATATTCTCAAGGAAAAAAAAACGTAATTCCTTTTTTTCTAAAATGTCGCTGTCCAATCTTGAAAGAGTTCAAAAGCGTCTCCGAGTCTTTGTTAAAGAAGAATTATTTTCCATCCGCCAACCTCTCTCTCTTCTCTCTCTCACACAAACACACAGGCACACGCACTGTTATAGTGGAACACACCTATTCTATTGTTAATAGACTCTCCCACCTATAATAAGTAGGAGTAGTAGTAAAAGTCGCTCAGTGAGTCGGTCAGTCAGTCGACTGACTGATCGGTTGAACTCTCTGCCTTCGGGCGGGGAGGAACCCGAAGGAGACTACGCCGAAGGGCGGATTCTCTTTCGGGGAGGTAAACCATCCCTGAACCCGTTTATACGGGTTCAGTGGGCATATTTTTGGCCGAGCCCACGGGCTCAGAGAACCCACGTTAAACCGGCCTTGTGCCACATGATGCCTTCGTGGGAGGTGACTAAATATAGTCGGTGAGTCAGTCGATGCCGGACGACCGTTAGTCGGGTACTAAAGTATCAGTGACCACAACTAGATTTACTCTGCGTCATTACCTATTATATCAAGTTCCTAACATTTTGTACGTCGAACCTATTTTAGGACCGACTTAATACAAATACAAGCCTCCACTGTGAAACCACTCCATAACACACACACACACAGGCTGAATGTGGCAAGTCTCTGACTGCAAGGAAAATGTTCGAACGAACTACATTCCTTGCTTCCACTAGATCTAACCTTCTCGGCTAAGACACGCAATGCCACTTACATAGTATCAAATCACCCACATCCTCTCCGTATTCCACCGTCGAGAAGTAAGGCCAACTCAAACTTCTTTCCACGAACCACTGCACCGTGTAACAGACTCCCAAGAAGATGTTTCCCCTATCACTCCAATCTTAACCTGTTCAAGTCTAGAGTTAACCGGTATCTTCCCCTTTTATCCATATAAACTACCACTTAATGTAACCTTCTACATTGAGTGGCCCTCTGGCTTTGTACAGTGTGAACTTTGATGTAAAAAAATAAAAATAAAATAGATGTTTTGGGAGCCTTATTCAAAGTTTTGATATTCGGTCTCAGCATGTCAATAATCGTATGAATAAACCTACAGACATTAATTATATTGAAAGAATCGTTATTTTCTTACCTTCTCCTCGAGTTGTGACGGTAATCTGTCCGCTTGGAGGACCAACACCGGCGCTGTTGTAAACTTGAACATAGATGTAATGATCAGAGTCATAAAATGCCAGACCAGTGATAAGTCCGGATGATCTTTGACCAGGGTACGAAACTCCGGTTCTCACCGGATCTGCTTGCCATCTGTTCCAATATGTGATCTGCGAAAAAAATCATTAACAATAATTTATGGTGACCTCTTTGTACGTTTTATTATCATAAAATTTACTAAACGAGTCGACCGGCTGATTTTGACTGCTACACCGACACCATTTCAACCGTTGCAACCTTTGTTTTGTTCATCAATATATACAGTAAAATTGAAAGTGCATCTTGTTTGGAAAGATAATATGAATTTAAGAGCAAAAATTATGGTCTATAATGCTGTTGTCATTTCAACTTGCGAAATCTTTATTCTATATCGTCGTGAAAAATGAGAAAGCTGTCATCAGCAAAAGCTTCATTCAATCTTGAACATCAAATGGAATTCATGGAAAGCGATAACAGTCAAAAGCATCGAATTGCTGATCATTAAATACCTTTTTCAATGGTCAGGACATGAAGCAAGAATTGAAGTGTAAAGGATTCTACAGCAAGTCTTATTCAGTGAGCTCACTTCAGGGAAAAGAGCATGAAGTTGCTATCTTCGAACATACAAAGACCAACTCAAAACAATATTGAAAGCCAATGCACTCGGGCCTAAATCGTCAGAAACACAGACACAAGAACTTACCAAGGGTAGGTGTTCCATCACCATAGGCATGAAAAACTTTGAAGCGAAAAAAATCTTTCATAGATAGATAGATAGATAATGAACGGACTGAGATAGATAGATAGATAGATAGATAGATAGATATGAACAGTCTGAGATAGATAGATAGATAGATAGATAGATAGATAGATAGATAGATAGATGTGAACAGAATAAGATTTTACCAACCTTTCGTTGAAATCTGTCGACACCAAACGCTTTCTATCAGTTCTGATCTTCACTTTCAGCTGATGATCAGAACCTGATGAGAATAGCATTCCTGTCGCAAGATCCCCTCCTTTCGCGTCATCCAGATCACCATTCTTGCCACGGCTAGCAACGTTAGAAACACCATTCGTTTCACCCCAGAATACGGGAGCGACATATTGTCGCACGCGTATGCGAGATCGATGAGAAGAAGCTGATCGGGAGCGATACGAGCCGTCAGCTCGCCGACATAGTCCCAGAAAGGGCGTACCTGGGGACAATGGTAGAAGGCATGCAAAGCCGTTTCCTCTAAACCAAGGTCACACCGGTAACAGTCGGGAAAATCCGCCCAGCCCCATCTGAAGGCCATGTCGTTACGGATCAATCGCCAGGTAAGCGAAAACTCAGTGTTACTGAGGTAATTCGCCGCTGGCACCCAAGACCAGAAAGAGCGCAACTCGTCCACCGACAAGCCGAGCCGCTCGCAGAGACGATTCTTCACGACCCCCTCCACTAATTCACGATACAAAACCTTTCGAGGTCACTGGACCGAGGAAAGGCCCTCAAAGGCCGCTCGACACTCGTTGAGAAAAGTCGACAATTTCCCGGACCTACGACGGCGCTTAGCCCAGGAAATGGGAGGAGTGATAGTAAGGCTAGCGAAGGCGTCCCTAACACTCGCCACCAAAATCGAATCCTCTGTCAAAACGCGGCGTAGGAAAGCTAACCCCGAGGTGTGTCGATGACTCACCACGTGCGGCAATTTCAGCCCCCCATGACACGGACGTTAGACACAAGCTTCTTTACGGACCTTTTGCTTGCGCCCAACCCACAAGAGGGTGGGAAACAAGCGCTCGATCGCCTTCCTATGATCCTTGCAAAGAGGAAGTACAGCCAAGCGGTAAAGGACGAGAGGAAAGACGTAAGTGGCACAGGCCTCCGCTCTAATCTTCAAGGACAACCTCCTTCGGAGCCAAGTCCGGACCGACGCTCCGACCTTTGCCTGTACTGCTAACCAATTTTTCTCCAGCTGGAGGTCGGGTCCAAACCACACTCCGAGAATGCGGAGAGGACCGTCCGTCCAATTGAAGGGCCCCGGAAGAGAGGCCCCCTTCTAGGCACCTAACCGCAAACCGGAAGATTTGTTACGGTTAATCTTAGCCCCTGTGACCTTTTCGTACCGTTCAAGCGCCTTCTGTACCACCTCAATGTCGTTGCGGTACGACACGAAAATGGATACGTCATCAGCGTACGCGGAAACCCTGGCTCGAGCCCCACCAGGGACAGCGATTCTACGTAGAGCCGGACTGCACGCCCCGTCCCTCAGCCGGCGAAGGGGAGGCTCCAACGCCAAAGCATAAAGTAGGGGAGACAGTGGGCAACCCTGACGAATCGACCGAGACAGCGCAAAAGCGCGCGACCGCTTTCCGTTCACCTGTAACCACAGCACTGGGGTAGCGATACAGGAGGTTAATCCACTTGCAGAAGTCGGGTTGGAATCCGGCGGCCTGCAGGACAGCAACCAGATACCGATGGTAGACCCTATCAAATGCCTTGGACTGATCCAAATTGATCAGCGCGGCTTGCTCGTCGTTTTTTACACACTCTAGGATCGTACGGATCAGATGCAGGTTGCTCTGAATTGTTCGGCCCTTCACAGCACAAGTCTGATCGGGTCCCAACAGTCTCTCGGCAACTGACTGCAAACGCTCCGTCAGGATCTTGGCCGAAAACTTTAACTCTTTTTCAGCAGAGTTAAGGGCCTATAATCGTCTAAATCCCGCCCACCATCCTTGCCCTTTTTCAACAGCGTGATTACACCCCTGGTGATCCGACTAGTGATGGACCCCTGCCGGAATCAGTTGTTGAACACGACAGTCAAAATCGGCACAATGATGTGCGACAGCCTCAAGTACAATTCATAGGGTAAACCATCAAGCCCCGGAGACTTGCCCCTGCCGACCCTTTTCAATGCCAAGTAGACTTCGCCCTCCGTGCTAGACGCTTCAGTCGGCGAAAGCCGAAGAAAGTCAGCCAAATAGCTGCGAAACTCATCGCCACTGAGACCAGGCTCCTTGGTAAATCAGCTCTCGAAATGCTGCCGAAACGCCTCGCATATATCGTCGACCTCAGAGTACGCCGCTCCGGGTTTTGACTTCACGAATGTAACGATTGGAACCTCGACGGATCTCTTCCTTGCGCAATTATGCGCCCATGTTCATGGATTCGTTAGACATCTTGTTTAACCTATGTCTAACTACCGCCTAGCTAAACCTATCTCTAGGGAGTCCCCCGCCCAGCCTCCGCCCGGGACAGACTATCTTTAAATGTTTTCACCTTTTTAGACTTATCTAGTGCGAGCCGCTGGCTATATTCGGTAGTGAACGACCTAATCCTATCCTTAAGCCTCTCCCACCACCTATTCCCAATAACCGCCCCCACTAGTTCCCGCTGCACTAGTCTAATTAGCTCTTGCTGGAAGTCCCGCCTGTCCAGTAAGGACAGATTGAACTTCCAGTGTCCAGCCATTCTAGAATCTGACGCTATCTGGGCACAGACGAGTCTATGGTCCGTATAGCCTAACCAGTGGAACGTTGGACAATCTAGCAGGTCTACATCGGCCCTTCTCACTATCATTCTATCCAGGTAGCTGGTCACCTGGGTAGGCGGCCACTTACGAGTCCATATCCACATCTCCCGCCCGGGGTGATCGACTCGGTATCTATCGACGAGACCGAACTCGTCGATCAGATTGACCAGGCTACGATCACCCAATGACCTCCCGCTAGCTCCCTGCCCCCTGTCTATCTTGGGCCCCAAGATGGCATTCCATTCCCCCACTAAGATTAAGCGCAAAGAATCGACCAGGAAAGACCCCAACTGCCGAAAAAAGCGAGACACCGATCGTTGGGCGCATAAACCGCAATGATCCGAAACGAATCACTGTTCACGGCAATATCAGCCACTATCAACCGGCCCCCCGCATCGACGTGGACAAGGTCCACATTTGCATCCAGGGTACGTTTAACCAACAAGGAAACACCTTTGGCCGGCTGGTCCACGTATGCTGAACAGTTGTCTGTTCAGCATACGTGGACCAGCCAACATAGTCGCTAGACAGCACACGCGCATCAACCTCGCAAGCAAAGTGCGTCTCCTGAATTGCAGATACATCTGCACCGAACGACAAGAGGTCACGAAGCAGGCGGGCGGCCTTACTCCGATCCCTCAAGCCCCTCGCATTCAAACTAGCTTGAGAGGCATTTTTCAAGTTGATTCCCCTACTCACAGACTGGACGGAAATCTGCAGATGAAAGGACTCAGACGCATTGTCCAAGGCTCCCTGTCCCCATCTCTGTCGTCATACGACCATCTCGGACAATACCGACAACGTCCGATAGGCACGTTAGCTTTAATGTCCTGTATAATGATGGATCGAGGATTACTGGGACCCTCCCTGCACAAAATTTCTATAGTTTTCTCAGTTCCGGGGTTCTTATTTCCGCTATACGGATCTCCGGAAAGACAACCTTCACCTCGTGAAGGTGTTTCCATGCTATTAGATTTAGGCCTGTGCTCTTTATCCATCTTATTACGCCAGCGACCTTGGGGAAATTTCGGGGATCATCTGTAGCAAGTCCGTCTACTGACGCCATCTTTAACAAGGGCTTCAACAAAGCTCTTTTTTGCTTCGATATGCCCGCTTCTATTGACTGCTTGTCCACACAGCAAGACATTACCCCACTCGGGAATTTCTTACGAGAAGAAGAACTCTGCTGGGATGTGCTGGCCTTTGGTGATTTGGAAAGTGGGGTGTTAGGAGAAGATGAGATATCATCGGCTGGAGTGGTATTAGGAGGGGGTGTTTGATGAGGAGGTGTATTGCGAATGGGGGACAGTGGGGCTTTCAGAGGGGAAGAAGGAAGACTTCCTGTGGTACTTTCTTCAGGATTCTTGACTGGCGAAGCCGGGATTGATTGAGCCTTGGTTTTGGCAGAGTCTTTGTTGGCTTCAGCTTGCTTGTGTTTTTTCTTTATTTTTCCACCTTTTCTTCTTCTTCTTCTTCTTCTTCTGCTTCCTCTTTCCCTCTTTTCAGTGAAGACGACCGAGGTGGGGGCATCTCCTGCATTTCTAATTCCCTTTCTTGCTGGTCCTTGGGCTCTGGTTGAGAACACTCATTTCGCTGCTGAAGGGAAGTGGTAGTACTTTTCGTTCCCTTCTTGACGTTCACTCTCCAGGTTTCTGGATTCTCTGTGTTGTTGTCTGTGAAGTTGCTGCTTCATTTTTCTTTTTGGTTTGTGGGGTAGGATTTCGTCCCGGGCAAGCCTTCGACAAATGCCCCGCAGTCCCACAAGCCCAACAAAGTGGCCGACGACCTTCCACAACGACATAGATAAGTCTACCCACACACATTAACGTGTTGGATATTTCCTTAAATTGATTTTGATTTAATGTAATTGAGATTTCAACATCTCCTCTGGCAATTCCGGCCTTACATTTAATAGGGCAGACGTCGGAGACGTCCCCATATTTAGAAAAGAAAAACCCAATATGGTCTTCAGATATGTAGAGTGGCACCCTATGTAGAGTCACCTTTGCCTTTCTCGTCCCCATATATTCAGTCTGAAGCCTGACTGTCAAAGTAGTTAGAATACAGCCTGCCAGTGATTTGGCTTTCTCTTCTGTCGGCAATAAAATATCCCACATTGACTTACTTCTTGCTAGAATTTGGGCTGCAATTTGAAGATTTTCAGAGCCTCCTCCATCACTTCCCTAGTCACAATATTTAGTTTCTGAGTCTTGGGGTCCGTTGTTACGAACAAGATTGTCCTTGGATTCACCGTGTCCAATACAGAAGACACCGGTAATAATTCATTTCCATTAACATATCGATCAAATGTCTCTTTTAAATTTTTGAAATATTCTGGCCCTTTTTGTGGGGGCCTTTCCCTTGCCCATGCCGAAGGAGTTACTTCTGTAGGGGAAGCAGGAAGAGATTCTGGCTCCGAGATGATGCCGGCGTACCCTTGTCACCCCAACAGACTGAACAGAGATAGATAGATAGATATGAACAGATGGAGATAGATAGATAGATAAAAAGAAACAGATTGAACATATATATGAACATATATATATATATATGTTCATATATATGTTCGATCCTCACTGGGTGCCCCATACTTTCGGCCTTGTGCCGCATCTGAGCTACGCTCAGAAAATCACTATATATAGATAGATAATGAATAGAGTGAGGTAGATAGATATACGCAATTAGATTTACATTTTCTTGCCACCTTGAAAATATTACATTCAATCTTAGCTTTATATTTTTTGATGTCAAAAAAAATTTTAAAAAATAATCTTCACGCGCTCTACTTGAAGATATTTGATGAAATTCAAAATTTTAATTAAAAACTTTAAACAAATCAAAGTCAATGAGGTTCAGGTTTTTAAATGGAAAAAACAATACTGGATTCAAATAATTCACTCACGATGTATCCAAGAATTTTGCCACGAATTGTTTCCCTTTTGTCATCCATTGGATTCCACGTGACCATAATGGCCGATTCATTATAACCGTAACCTGAAACCCCATTTGGTGCGAGTACGGGCACTGAAACAAGAAACATTGCGTTAAGGGAATGACTATATTGCAAACACTATTTAAATATACAAAGTAAATATTTAAAATATGAAAGAATGGGATTATCAGTCAGCATTAATGAAGGCAAGTTTACTGACAGTTGTTTAGCGGCATCTCAATCTCTATCGGTTATAATCTAAATATTTGGAATGCAATTGTATGCCTTCAACTACAGCTAAAATCATTATGCTATAAATAAGTATAGTTAGTATTGTTATATAAAAATGTATTACTGGTGTTTTTACTATAAAAATGTATTTTTATAATTTCATAAGTTTTTGTCTTATTTTGGGGGTTGCTATTTGCACATAGCTGGCACTCTAGTAATTGCCACCAGCTCGCATCTTTTTTTTCCCATATCCACAACAATCAAGAGGTCGTTCCACGCTCCACAAAACATCTCAGAAGCCTTGCTGCCAGATGCAGTTTATCGTCATACTCAGGACCAGTTACTGACAGAATAGGTTTTTACTATAGAAATCCATTAAATTAGATTGTCAGTTGTCAGGCGACATTGAGAGAATAGTATTATTAAATCTATGATGTAAATTTTTTGCTAATGATTTTTTTTTATATATAAAGGGAAACTTTTTAATCATTTCACCCCAAACAATGCGGGAGTTCCAGTAGCACACAAGGGGTTACAGAGAGTAGAGAACAAGAGTAAAGAAGTGTGTTTGGGGAGAGGATAAAGAGAAGGACGAGGAACAAGATCTAAGTATCAGAAAATGTCGATTGACATTACATTTGAATATTTGAAGATTATAGTTATCAGGAAAGCAAGTAAAAAGAAAAGAATTCCACAGACAGGAAAAGCGAGAGAAGAAGCTGTTTGAGTAGAAGAGACGACTACATTTAACTGTTTTGACAGTGAAAGGCTGGGACCGAAGTGCCAACCAAGTAGCACGCTTAAATTCATGCAGTCTTGAAACCAGCGAAAGCAACTCGTCGGAACAGTTGCCGTGAAAATACTTACAGATGAGACAAATGGAAACCACGGTACGTCTGTGAGAAATCGACTTTAGACTAGATGCCAGATCAGGACCTATTACATTGCATATCTGTCTCTGAATTTAGTCGAGGACCTCGAGACTTACAGCTGATGCATCAGGCCATATATGGCAGCAATATTCCATGCAAGGATGAATGATTGATTTATTGATTTGAAGGATGTACTCAGACGAGAAAAACTTTCGGCCACGACACAGTGAATGAACTTTCCATGCGGTAGATAAAGCAATTGAGTTTATGTATTTGTTCCACCTCCTATCAGCGGACAGCGTGAGACCAAGCAGGAGTAACGAGGCGATCTCATGGAGTTAGGAATCAGCCATTCTGATGAGAGGCAGGGAGGTTTCTCTGTGATGGGTAAAGGAGAGCAGTTTAGTTTTGGAGGCTTTGAAGTTTACAAGCCATTTTCATGCCCCAGTCAACCACAGATTGGAGGTGAGGAAGAAAATGGTAGTTTGCTGTCAGGAATGAAGGCAATGTGGAGTTTGATATGGTGGAGCTGTTATAAGTACATTATAAATGAATGCCAATGTTTTCCAGTAAAGAAATGCATTGGAAATCAGGAAAAAGGTAGTTGTTAGTTGTCAAGATTTAACCTAAGCATTGCAGCTAGGATTTGGCTATTATATATACAGGTTGTCGTCAACTTACGCCTACGATTGTTTTCAACAGACAAATCGATCTGGTCGTAAGTCGGTTTGTAATTAATTTAGCAAAATTTATCTTTCTTTGGGTCCGGTCCGTTTCTACGCCACAACTGTTGTTGGAATAGGTGCATAATCTTTCACGGTTTTACAAATTCTTTCTCTGTCCTTCAAAATCGTCGATACCGCAGAGTGTGATAACTTCAGGTCACATTCACTTTCATTCCTTCTTCGTATTGTCATTTTTGTATTGAGATCAATGGACTTTCTTTCCTTCTTGTCGGGTTGAGCAGTAGACAAAGACGATTTCTTCTTAGAAGCCATCTTGGATGTTTTAAAAAGAAATATTTCAAAAACACAAATTTTAAAGACTCGGAGGAAAATAAGTAGAGTAAAACATGTCAGATCAAATGATGGTTTCCATGAGGTTTACAGGTTCGATTCCTGTCGGAGAAGCACATATTTTATTTATTTATGTTATGTGTCTTCACTACGTGCAACGTTTTATCCTCAACGCTAAAAACGAGCTTACAAAATTCACAAAGCCAAAAAAAAAAAAAACACAGACATCACCAGTAACACTTCTAAGAAAAATTATACAAAATTCATAAACCTGACCTCCAACACTCTTTCTACTAAATTCGCAAACAATTTATCCCTAATTCTAGGAACATTACCACCACCTCCAAGACAATCGGAGACACAATTAGGAAGAAAAATAACTCCAACACAGATTCAAAAGCCGGGATTTATCAAATAAATTTTGTACAGGGTAGAAATCATGTGATCTAAAAGTCCGCATCTCCGAACACAAGAGAGACGTGCGCTTAGACAAAAGATCTAACTCTCGTTTTGCATCGAAACGATGCTGGACATAACTTTGATTTCATTCATGCAACCCTAATTAAAAGCAAAAACATAATTTTTTCAGGAGAAAAACATCGAAAACTTAATAATAACATTATCAGCAACTATAAACATACGCCTAAATCATTATATTACATCACCATCTTTGAATCCAGTCTTAAAGAATCTAACTTATATCTATCTAATACAAAGAATACATGCGTAAAGCGATCAGCCATAGATTAGAATGAAGTAACACTCCGCTGCGCTGGCTAACTGCAAAAGGTGAAGACATTAGAACTGACACTAGACAGACATTAAATTCTTAAATGTCTATAATTGGTAACAGAAGCCATTGGTTTATACCAACGGCTTCCCATATTTAATATTCTCGAATTCACTCTCGCGTGGTCATGTGTGACGTCATGAGCTGCGGTGTGATTTTCGCTTCCAGCGTCTTATATGCACGTGTTTATCGTTGCTTGGAAATCATCCATGTAAACAATAACAGACAGAAATCATCACTTTCTTGTCCGTGTAATGCATAATATATTGTACTGTAATTTGTCATCTTATGTCAGCCGAAAGCTTAGATTGGATTAAAAAATATGGATCAATATTGTGATTTTCTTTCTTCGTTTAATGATAATGTTATTAAGCTTATCAGACATTATGAAAAGAATTTACATAAAATAAATAGACAACACTTGTCTATATTATTTAATGAAACATATATGAATATATATATATGTGTGTGTGTGTGTGTGTGTGTGTGTGTGTGTGTGTGTGTGCGTGTGCATGTTTCATTAAAAACGACAGACAAGGTACTACGGTTAAGCTTTTTATTTAATTTTTCTTGTGTTCTAACAAGAGCTTTCTTTTCTGGACAAAGGGTGTGTAAGAAGTGTACAAATGTTTTATGTCTTACGTTACACCTATCTGATCACAGCTCCATTAGAACCCATTTAAACACACACACAAATTTACCAGACTCCATTAGAAACAAACTAGTAGAAAGCACAAATATATTAACTGCATCCATCTGCAAAAAAAAGATTTAAAATAATGGAAGCTTTAATAATAAAAAAGAAAAAGCCAACTCTTAACAATATTAACTACGAACAAGGCCACAATGTGCTAACCGTATTCAGAAATTAAAAACATCCCTACCACACACTAAGACATACACAAAACGCACACACTCAATTAAGCTGAAAAATCGAATCATCCTTGATAATGGCTAAAGGTATAACCGAAAGCGCTCGGAAATATAAAACATTTGGAGAGTTTTTACACAGCTTTTGTCCAGAAAAGAAAGCTCTTGTCAGAACACAAGAAAAATTAAATAAAAAGCTTAACCGTAGTACCGTGTCTGTCGTTTTTAATGAAACATGCATAAAGGAAGGATTGCTGCCTAAATATACAACTATATATATATATATATATAGAGAGAGAGAGAGAGAGAGAGGGAGAGAGAGATAGATAGATAGATAGATAGATAGATAGATAGATAGATAGATAGATAGATAATATTAGTGGTAAATATAGACATAAATATGCAAAATATATAAATATATATACATAGGTGCATACACATAGATGTATATTTTTTGAATAAAAAATTCCAAGAGGATAGAATCCAGGTAGAACTCAATGTCCAGGACAGAGTAAGGATATAATAAAAAGGCTTAAACACTAATATTCCATGGTCATAATTTATTCCATTGGAATCGTAAATACGATCCAATTCATCAGACCTACAAATTCAAAAAAAAAACAGAAAAAACAACTCCGGAAATAAAAACAGAATTTAGAGGGAGTGTAAATATGAGAGTGTGGGATGAATGTTAGAACTAAAGAGAGGGGTAACAGACGAGAGGAGGTGGGAGATTAAAACTTAACAGAGAGAAGTTTTAGAGAGGTGAGTTGAAGACGGTTTAAGTGAGATAAATATGAATGTTGTCGGATATATATATATATATATATATATATATAACTTATATGACGTTCTTTAAATTGAATAATGTGCAATTTTTGTACAATACTTACAATCCTCAGCGGAATAAATTGCTACGATCGATGAATTTGGACCTGTTCCATGATTATTAAATGCCTGCACTTTCACTTCGTATTCCGTATAGAATTTGTCCCGTCCAACGAGTGTGTCGAATTCACTGTGATCTCCCTTAAGTTTCGCCTGCAATGAAAACATAAAAAACCATTCGACGTTTGCTTTTTATCCAATTGACGCTTGATGAAGTCATAAGTTGTCACTTATACGCAGCAGATGATGAATAAAAGCGCAGTGGCGTAGCTAGTGGGGGCGAGGGGGGCGGACCGCCCCGGGTGCCAGCACAGAAGGGGTGACACAATGTCAACCCCAACAAAATTTTTCAACCAGGCTAAGATGCCAAAAATAGTCTGAAAACAGTGATGGAAACACAGGGTTTCGCAGGCGGGCATATGACCCCCCAGAAATAATTTATGACCCCCCAGTTTTGTGCCCTCGTCAGAAATTTTCTAATAAATTGTCGGGAAATTTGTGAGTAGGACAAATAGCAATGTTTTCAGCTTTCTTGTGTTTCAGTTGCTACAATCTTGGTTACTAACATGAGACATTGTTGTAACATTTTATCGGATGATATGGTGTTTTAACTCTGCATCATTAATAACAAGAAAGCGAAATACGAAGCCAAAAGTGCAACAATTTCAGTCTTGCCTGTGTATCAATTCGCTGAGATACAATTTTCCATTGAGTGAGCGATATACTTTTGAATATATCTACTAGTGTTGAGACGATTAATCGGAATCGAGAATCGGAAAAATCGGAACTTTTGGGGGTACCGGAAACGGTATCGGAATCGGAAAAATTTGTGCCTATTTTTCGATTACAAAAACGATTCTTTTAAATTTTTAACTTAATTTTCTATTATTGGTACTAATGATAAATATTTATTGTTTTTAAATTATGACTAAAACTAAAATCATAATAACATCAAAATACGATGTAAATTTATTTTACTTGTATAAGGAAAAACAAAAAAATAAACTTTGCATAAATTCTCTAGATAACCTTTTAAAAGAATGCAGTTGGTTTACAATGTTCCGAAAAATGCTTAAAAATTAAATAGAACATTTTTGTCAAGAAAAATACTTTCAAACATCATTGATAATTAAATGGTACCCAGAAAATGATGCAACGGAAAATTGGACACCGGAAAATTAGTAACAGAAAATTACGTCAACCATGAGCCAGTCGAGACTGTCGGATCTGGCTGTGCTGTCCATTGAAAACGAGCTTACAAGACAAACAGATTTTGACGATGTCATTGACCAGTTTGCCACAATGAAAATAAGAAAACATTCATTCTAAGACCATAGTATCGAATGTCATTCTTTTGTGTATTGCCGTGTTTTGTATATAGTTGTTCTGAAAGTGAACAGTTGCATTTTTAAAATCTTTTGATTTGAACTGATTATTTTATGATATTGGATTTTGTCTTGGATCATACATGTAAACAGTAACGTACCGGTCAGTAGAGTAGAGGTAGAGCATGTATGAAAATTTAGCTACAGCTAACCATTCAGCATAGGGTGAATCGGTGTCATTGGGGTGACATTTGAGCGGACCGCCCCGGGTTACGTTTACTCTAGCTACGCCACTATACAAGCGTCACCATACTTTGTCGCATACAGCCAAGTCTTTCTCGGCTCAAAATAACTCAACAATTCATAACCAAAGGTTAATACACTGTGAGAAATGACGTAATTAAAATGCAATATTTACTATGTGATATTTCAGACATAAGTATTTACACTATTTACATTATTCGGACTGTTGCCACGATGTTTCAGCCTCTTTACGCTCCGACCTTCTTCAGGTGATTGAAATTTCAAGCCGAAATCTTTATTTCGTCCACCGGGGTAGATTTTTCTAGTTCCGCGTATCATGCCTCTTCCAGATGCCTCGCAGTTATCTTCTTTTAACTCATCTTTCTAAGTTTTTGTCCACCTTTGTTGTAGCCAGGTACTGAACTCACAACACTTTGGGTCAAGTCACTGGATTCCACCAACGCTTTTATCCACTGGGCTATTTCTTTTTGAAAACGGCTGAAAAGTTCTGAATATGACAATGCAGATGATCACAACAGTCCTAACAATATAAATAGTGTAAAACAGTTACAATACCTCATCTCAGAAATATAGACATATCCTGAAGAAGGCCGGAGCATACAATGGCTGAAATGTCATAAATATGACAATAAAGATGGTGGACAACAATCCAAACAATGTAAATAGTGTAAAATAGTTACAATACCTCATTTCAGAAAAGATAAACTTGACAAAATTGTGCCACGTGTGCGGAGTAAACGTGTAAAATAGCGTTGGTGTTTAATGGCTCTACTGCATTCCCTTCTTAGATGAGCTGAGAAATTTTCAGCACCACCTCGTAAATCAAAAGCAGACTTAATGTTATCTTTAATAGGGATTTGGTACAATATTATACACTTTATCTTTATTTTATATTTTTTTAATCATTTCGCCGAAGCAAGGCGGGAGAGCCACTAGCACCACGCGGGGGTGTATAGAGAGTGAAAGTGAGAGAAAAGAATATTAATAGTGAGGATTGAGGAGAGGATAAAAGATGAACGGAAATCAAGGCAACAGAAGATAGCGATTGACGTTTCATTCAAATTTATAAAGATTGTATTTATCAGAGAAGCAAGGAAGAGGAAGGGAGTTCCGCAGTAGGGAAGAGTTAGAAAAGAAGCTTTGGGGGTAGAAATGGTGGTTGCATTTAACTATTTCAACAGTGAATGGTTGGGATCTAGATGCCACACTAACAGCACTCTTAAATTCATATAGTCGGGGCACCCAGGAAAAAGGCTCGTCAGAGCAGCTGCCATTAAAATATTTGTAGAAAAGACAGAGGGAAGACGTTTCACGTCTGTGAGAAAGTGACTGAGGACGTAATACCAACTAAACGTATGTCAACTTCATCGAAAAGACATTAACCCTAAAACATTTCTAACCAAGAAAGACGCAATGATCAAAACAGTCCTCTTCCTTTGACTTTCGAGCCTGGAATAAAGTGTAGTATCTGTCTTCAGGTGGACTACATTTTATATCTCAATCGTGTATCTGTTTTCGTGCACAACACAACAAATAAGTGAGGCATGCCTGGTTCCGGGGATTCCAACCCTGCTGCAGCACCTCCTTCATTACACCAGACAGAGTCGGTCGATATAATATCAATGCCAAAACGATGTTAGTTGCAGGAACTGGGCAATTTTTTTTCTTAGTTGATTGTGCACGTGTTTGAGCTCCCCACTTTAAATCGGTCTTGTACCATATCCTGTCTCCTTGGTTGGATGTATGAGGAGTAAATACAAAATTATCTGTTCTCTCTTTCTCTTAAAGTTATCAGAGACGCCTCACCCCGGGGATTTCAAACCAGCGGCAGCCTCAGCCTTATTACAATACAGAGGGAAGGTTGGTAGTTAATGTAATTCATTGCCAACTTATTTTCCAACCATACTACTGGTTAATCCACGTCTTGTGAGTGAAATTGATTAGACAAAACTGTTAGCACGAAGTCACAAGTCACCGAGGTTTTCGAGCGTACTAACTTTGTTCAGACTTGATCAGGCCAGATAATGTGCTCACTCCCAGAAACTGTAACTAAGGTCTGCTCAGTATAGTTGCAACATAAACCACAGTTGCACTCTGTTGGTGTTAAACAAAGCTAAATGTGTTTGAGCAGGCCTCTGCAAAAGGAACTGGCTAGATGCACTAGTAGACAGGCATAGTTGGATATGAGTGGCCATCCTATTATAGTTGGGCTTGTTCCACTCTTCGTTATTTCTCACGACCGTTACGTCCTGCCAATATCTAATAAATAATGGACTATTCCGTTTTGATCACGTGTAAAGATGGTGTGACGTCGCCCCCCCCCCCCTGGTCGCAGCGTCGACTGTGTCGTTCGATCTCGTTCGCGGCACCAGTTGTGACGTCGCGTGCTCTCCAGGCTCTGATATCCTGGTCACGGACAGCACCAGTTGTGACGTCCCTGCCGCGGCGTCAGCTGTTCGCTCCTCGCTGCTCCAAGTGTGACGTTCTAACCCTTTGGTTAGATGAATACCAGCCTCGCCGTTCCCCACATCGCCTCCAACGCCTGGTTACTAGGGTAACTGCACTGATCTCCGGTCTGCCTACCCACGTTGTGATTAGATCTTAGACAGACGGGATCAAACAGGGATTGGGGCCGTAATATAAAGCTAAGTTCAACGGGGTGGTAACACACAAGAAAAAGAAAAACTCACAAGGTCAAAATTATTGAAAAAAAAGGCGTGGTTGGGTTTTTTATATCCAAATGTTCGTTACACAAAATTGTTCCTACCTCCCGACCCGTTTTATGGACTGTGGCACCAAGCTTCTACCATACAACTTTAAGACTTCGAGTTGCTTGTTCTCTAGAAATTTGCATTTCGGGGTGTGGTTTGTATCGACACTGGGCGCTGATCTCTACCAGTCGTTCACGGATGATTTCCC